TATATTGAGGCATCCCTACAAACGATGAATTAACCAAATAATATTTTAAAGATGCCAAAAGGTTGAAATATGCCTCATCTAAAGCTCATGTAAAAAGAATAAAGAATTGAGTAAAAGAAGAAACAAGTTGAAGTAATAGACAAAAGATACAGTATGTGTGGTAATAGGATGGAGAAAATCCCACTGCATTCCGAGCATGATGAAATGTATTTGTTTAAAGAATTGTTTTGTGTATGATTTTTCTGTTTGAAATAAATCAAATCAAAACAGTTTGATTTCCAATCGAAAAATCAAGTATGTTTCACATGCAATGGTAATGTCATTGTTTTAAGATTAGATTGTATCAGTTTTGTTTATGTGTATGTTGTTGTTGTTTTTTTTTATATATATAATTTATGGTGTTTGTATGGTGTCCCTGACTGTCAGTAATGTCACCATTAAATAAAATTCATTGATTATTATTCAAGATATTAATTAATAATCATTTTTAGTGTTATGCTACATACAGTACGCAGTTCTTCAAACCACTAGATTTGACCCATTTTCAGAACGAAGTTTTAAATATAATAAAATTAATTAAGATCACTTCCTTCCTTTCCTCACAGCAAGAAGGTCTTGACTTTTCTCTGTGTGGAGGAGCAGCGGCTCTACTCTAAGCTCCCCCTGGGTGACAGAGCTCCTCTATAGGGGTGGGCCCTGCCACCCTGTGAAGGACACTCATTTGAGCCGCTTCTATACGAGAACGGGTTCTTTCAGTCATGATCTAAAGCTCATGACCATAGGTGAGAGTAGGAAGGTAAATTGACCAGTAAATCAAGAGCTTTGCCTTTTGTCTCAGCTTCTTTTTCATCACAACGGACCAGTACATCGACCGCTTTACTGCACATTTTCCATCCTTCTCTCACTCATGAACAAAACCGCAAGATACTTGAACTCCTCCACCTGGGGTAAGGACTTTCCTCCAACCTGGAGATGGCAAACCAACCTTTTTCTGGTAATAAGTGAAATGTTGTTTATTATGCTGTTTATTATATTTTTTTCCAAATGAAAAAGTTTAGATCTTTTGGTGTAAAATAACAAAAGCCCCCATGCTTTTATCTACTTTACTACTCTTAGAAATCACTATTTGCTATTTTGAATCACACTATATGAAAACATCTGACTAGTTGTCATTTTCTCAAGCTAAAAATGCTCTAAACGACAGCATTTTCAACATGGGAAGAAATTAGGCCCATCACAATAATCAACATATGAACTTATCGCACAACACATGGATATGACCTCAATCATATTTGGTGTGAATATATTTTGTTACATACGTTTTGTTTTGTATACATACAAAAAAAAAAACAATTCTAGAAACATATTAGCTTATTGTGCAACATCTCTACCTCTGTTGAAGGTGTCAGTATGGTAAAAAACACTTCAGTATTTGCTATAAATAGTATATTTTCATGTAAAATGCAAGTAAATTTTAAGTAAAAATCAACCTTGGAATAAGTACCTTACATTGGTCTAGACATTGTTTTTTATTTACGGTTGGCAAGAAACTTGCTATTCAACTTATTTTCAATTAATTGTTTATAAGATTGCATCGAAATTAGATCTTGCTCCTCTAAATGTGCAGATTTGTTCAGGGTTGTTCTTTTAACACCCATCATTGTATGATGCATGATCTACTGCATGGCCATCTTTGCGCACAAGACAACATATTAACTGGCTTCAATCTATATTTAAATGTATTTATTTTAAGTATCCTTATTATTTACAACAATGTTTAGTTTTTTTTTTACATTAAATTGTGAGGTAAGAAATTGGGCCCTATCATAGACCTGGCGCAGTGTGGCGCAAGGCGCGGCGCAATAGTCATTTGGTAGTTTCAGTTTGGCGCAAGAGTTGTTTTGAGGCGTTGCGCTACGCTATTTAAATAGCAAATGCATTAGCACTCATTTGTGCGCCTATAAGCGTTCTGGTCTAAAAAGGAAGGCGTTCTGAGGCGGACCGCTGGCGCGTTGCTATTTTGAGAAACTATAATAGATTTTTCATTAGACCAAAACAAACCCGGTCTAAACTCCGGCGCAGAGTTGCGCCTCGCTTACGCATTGCTTAATACGCACAAGAGAGCAATAGGCAAATATCTTTACATATGAAAAAATGTAAATATTAAGGATATATATAGGATATAATAAGAATAGATATAGGATATAAATATAAAGGATTAAAATATTACAAAACATATTATTTTCTAGCCTACATAAATATGAAAAATCACTGCTTTTATGTCTTCTTTATCTCGGGAGGCTTTTTCAGTTCATTCATAACAATTTGCTTTTGTATAATGTTATTATTATTAGCAGTATTATTTATTATATCCATATTTATATATGTTTTATTAAAAACAAGCTTAGATTTGCCCACCTGTCAGGTTTTAGACCATATGGGGCACAGCATGTGTTTTAGGATGCTGGTTTTTGGTTAACTCAGGTTTTTGAGCACATTTTGTTATTATTGTTCATTTATTCTTTTGCTGGAAATTATAACTGAATTTAGAAATAGTTTTGAAACGAATATTTGCGCTTAAACAATATTATTTATGCATAGACTAATTGATGTCTGTGCGTAAAGGTTTCCCTATCCAAGAGCGAATGTGAAAGTAGTTCCATTATCTCTCATTCTCACGCAGTAGATGCTCTGTTTAACAGTTTTCTGTTAAAAAAAAAAAAAACTGTTAACTGTTTGCTAGTGAAATGCTGTTTTTCCACTTAGACTTACTTTGCGTCCTGTAAATAGCGAATGCGCTCTTGGAGTGACGCAGCTGGCTCTTAAAGGGAATGGGAGATGAGACTCTAATTGGTTTATTCTCAAAACACACCTATAACTCATTAAGAAAATAAACTCAACCCTTTTAGACCATGTGCCATGGCGCAAAGCAGGTTTTCCCGTCCTTAAATTAGCAAAAACGCGTTCTGACACGCCCTGAAAGCGTTTGCGCCCTGCGTTTTGCGCTCTGCGCTTGCACCTTAAAAATAGAGCCCATTCTGTTCAGACTTTTTTTTGTTACTTGTTTTAAAAACCTATTGGTAAAAGAGTTTTTATGTCTAATAGATTGGAATGATTTACCTGCTAACATTCGACCAATTGCATCATATAGGTGTTTAAGGAAACTTTGCTATCATATTTTACTTTGGATGATACTTGTTTTATCCTGAGGGTATTATTATTTATGTGGTGATTTGATTTCACTGATTTGTATATTTTTTGCACTATGTATATGTTTGTAGGTATTCTACTTCCCTTTTTTATGTTTTTGGATGTTGTGTAATTTATGTTTTGTTTTTGTCTTCTGGGGGTTGTTATTATTATGCGATTGCGATTAAATGTGGGACCCCCTTGAAAATGAGATGGTACATCTCAAGGGGTTTATCCTAATCAATAAATATCAATCAAATCATGTGGATGCCTGATGACTAAAACTAGATCATATAGCAGATATCGCAGCCTCTATTACTTTTCAACATTCATTACTATTTATTTAGGATAAGCATTTTCACATTCTGATTATGATTAAATAGTCTAAAGCAGAGATGCCCAAAGTAGGGCCTGCAGGCCAAAGCTGGCCCATTGTAACCTTTGACTTAGCTCCACATCCCATCTGAAAGGACAGTGAGTGTGATAGAGAGGGTTAGAACAAACACTTTTAACAGAGAGATTGTCATTTCTAATTTGACGTAACCATTTTTATTTGTTTTATTGACCTTATTCTTCAATGTGGAAGGGCGCTCATTTTTGCGATAGTTTTAGAACTTCCGGTTCAGTCGCCTATGAGAGAAATGACTGGGTAAACTAAATGGCAGAAAACAGTCAACTACTTGGACTACAAACAAGTGTTTGCCTGACTATACAGACCGAGTAGAATAATATAATAAAAAAAGGTAAGTTTGCAACATTAAGCAGCAAAACGAATTGTTTTTAATGTCTAAAACTGAATGGAAGTGAATGGGACCGGAAGTCTCTTGCCAAAAAGATTCAAATGGCAGCGCCCGTTTGTACGTGAAGAATAAGGTGAATTGCTGTACTACAAAAAACAAACAAACTGAAATTAAAGGTTTCAATTAGAGGTCTGAAATTCCTCAAATTTCAGAATAAAGCGTGGGAGCGCTCGCTAACTGGTTTAATTTTGGACGGAAGCGGGCGGTCCATCAATATTGCTCCCGAATCCCGAGCGAGCACGCGCATGTATGTGTGTGAATGAGACAGCGTGATGCTGCGTTTAGCTTGTTTGTTGCTGTGTGTGTGTGTGTGTGTGTCTGTGCGCACGCGAATGAGAGACAGAGAGAGAGCTTTGTGCTGTCTGTGTGTGTGTGTAAGAGAGAGAGAGAGAGTGTGATGCCTGTGTGTGTGTATACAGACAGCTTGTTATAGGCTTTCTAGACTATGTATAGCTGGGTGGTTTTCAGTTTTGTTCTCCCCCCGCTCGTTAGCCGGAACGGGCGCGGTGGGTAGAAAACGGGGCGGGGCGCGGCGGGCAGCGGGACATCAAATGCTGAATATAAGTGGGAGCGGTCGGGTTCGGGCTAAAACCTGGCGGGAGTAGTATTCAAAATTTAGTCCCGCGCAGAGCTCTAGTTTTAATTAAATATTGTGAAAGAATCAGATTTTTAAAACATTTAAATACTGTCATTCAACGGATAGAGGACTATGCAGAAGACATCGGCAAGCAGATCAAGGCAAAAACTACAGTAATTCTGTTATAAATTAGATTGTTTTTACTGTAATAAGTTAATTATAAAATGTAAAAAATACTGTATTAGGTAATATAAAGCAGTGCTTTCTACTAATTTTTTTAACATTATAAAATAAGTTAGGAAATTACCCATGGCAAATATATTTAGCTCTAGCCCACGTTGCCACCCGTCTCTTAAAATACGGAATCATCCCATATTTGAGAATGAAATTGCGCGTTACGAGTTTTGTCCTGTAATTTTATCATTTTTTTAATTTATATTTTTAATGCAAATCATCCAACACGCGTTTTATGAAGATCCCTCATTTCCTACTTTTGATTGGGTAATACTTGATGTCATCGTTAGTTTAAGGAGTGAGGAGGGCGGGTCTTTTAAGCAGAGTCTGTCAAGTCTTGACTGAGAGTAATGGCAGATGCTTCCGGTAAACAACCATGTCTTACAGTTTCAGAGTTTAAACGCAAGGGACTGAAAAAATACTGCAGACAGTGGGGGGACAGAGCTTGCAAAAATCAAAGCAGTCAGACAGTTCTTCATACCTCAAGTCTCTCCCGAAGCAGACATGGTGATGACAGTGTAATCATTATCAACAATATTTAGGTTAATTACCTAATAATGCTAAAAATGTGACCCAGTCTGTGAAAATCTAGCTGGAGTCATTTTTTTCTAATCGACTGTTTTCTACTTGACATAAAGAAGAGTCTGTGAAAATAATAATAATGTATTTAATATTAACTGAGTAAAACAATGTCAACAACTGAAATCAAAGGGAAATGAATGACTACAGTTAAACTTTATCTCAAAATTAGATTTGGCCTGGTTTTCACACACAGGATCACAAACTGTAATTTGTAAACATTCGGTAAATACAATGTAAGTGGATCACATTCCAACGTAATATTATGATTTGTTTCTCAAGGTTAAGTCAGGCACATAAGCATTAACTTAAGACTTGAAACATTTTATTTAATACATTATTAAACAACATAATGCCCATGTAAAGAAAATAAACTAGTAAATTGCAACTTTTCATATTTTAAAATTAGAAATAGGCTATATGAAAACTGTACTACAATGTAAAAAAATCCCGGTGACTTTGATTTTTTTAAAACTGAATCAAATCAATCATAAGTTCATTGAACTTAAATTATGTTAAACTGACTCAAAACAGCTTGCATAACTTATAAAATTAAGTTAGAACGTGATTCAATTAGTTCAGTAGTTAAAATGAATAAAAACATATGCTTTCAGGACTAATTGAACATTTAATTTTTTACAGTGTAGCTGTTTGTATCTAGTTGATGTATGAGCTGTTTCCATGTTTGGATAGGTGTTACTGCAAATAATGACAAATAGTTTAGCCAAAATCTGTTATCAATTCCACCCTTTAAAATTAGGTTCATTAGAATTTTCTCCTCTCCTCTAGGTTACCGCAGCTGAGTTAATGCAAGTGTACCACACTATCGAACATAACATCAGCTATAGCAGTGCTGCAGAGTTGTAAAAGAGAAAGACTGACTGCATCTGTTTACACAGATTTCAATAAAAGACAGTTTATTTTAATGTCCAAGTGTTCATACTTTCCTGAAAACATGTTTTAAGTTGCGATTTACCACCACTGGCATGCTATTGGGCCTGTGATCACTGTGGTCTAGGCTCCCAAGTGATATGGCCCCCGTTGCATTATGCGTCCCCTATTTTTTTGTATCAAAAGTGGTAACTACCCATTACCCTCATATCAAGTTTTTGGCCCTTTATAATAAAAAATTTGGGCACTCCTGATCTTAGGAATAAGAATATTAGGTCCCACTTTATATTAAGTGTCCTTAACTACTATGTACCTACATCAAAAAATAAATACAATGTACTTACTGTGTTCATAAAGTATTTGAGAACACTTGTGGTGCTCTTGGGTTGGGATAGGGGTTGGGTTAGGGACAAGTTTGGTGATGTGGGTAGGTTTATGGGTGGGTTAAGGTGTAGGGAATGGTCAGCAGTGATTACATACATGTATTTAATCAAGCATAAGTACACAGTAAATACATGTATTTACACAATAAGCACATTCTAACAAACTATTAAATCCTGTGTAAGTACATATTAGTTAAGGCCACAATATAAAGTGGGATAATAGGTGTTCTTTGGAAGAGTGTATTTGCATTATGATGCCATTACGTTGTCATTCTGGCATTATATAACGAGTAGCATAAAATGACAATATTATAATTTAATCACAGAATATTTTGGTGCAACATATCGAACAACAAAACATAGCTATTGTGACAGGCCTAGAAGAAATGTTAGCAGACCTGCACAGAACACATAGCAAGTGTTGTGCATAAGCAGAGAATGTTGACGTGGTTAAAATAGCATTAACGAACACGACACGTCCGTAAACGGACACCTTTTTAGCACAGCAACAAAACCGGCGTCCACATTTCTATAAGACGCACAGAAGAGCCGCCTGATTCCATACGTCACTCACTGCCATGTTTGTCCGGTGCTGAGAGCTAATTATGTTCACTTGTACTAGAGCAAGTTAAGTACCATGTTGTCGCATAAGTGCCTTAAACGGTTGTCTACATGCAACCATTTGAACTTTGCAAGACAGTTCGCGAAGAAAAAGGCTTTGAGTAGCTATTAAATGCAAATTTTTCTGGTGATTTGTATTATATGTGGACTAATTGATTCATAGAAAGGCATGTTGCAGGAATGAGGCCATCACTTATGTCCACATCAGCACTGATATTACAGTTTGTCACCGATAGCATCTGCTGAAAACATTCAAAACAGTCTGAGGAGAAACCAAGTTCAGGTGTTTTGCTTTTTCCTCCCTCAATTCCGTCTGTTTTCATCTTCATGACTGATATATGATGTAAAAAAATAAAAATAAGAGAGATGAAAGAATAGGCTAACACATCTGACACTCTGTGATTAAATAAGTCACTTACTGTTTGTGTTAGTACAAAGTAAGCTTTTTAGTGGACGTTTTAAACAGATTTTATTTACTTTTAGGGCATTTTGAAATGTAATACAGTATATGGAGTTCAACATAAATAGTCGACAGCTTGTGATTTATTATGGTGTTTATTTACACTTTTATACTGCATTTTGATCTCTGCTCCAATAACTTTTGATGGGGAACGTTTAGCTCTGCAGTTTAAAAGTGATTTTAATTTGACATTTTTAGTTTACATGTTAGACAAGTATCCAGAGTTTTTTTGTTTGTTTTTTGTTATTTGACATATTTATTTCTTACAGTGTGTTTTATAATCTATAATTCTTTCAAAATATATACAATTAATAAATCAAGAATATTTTAGATAGTATTTTTTTTATAATGCTTTGCATAAGGCACACACTAAAATGTCAGACAGTGCAACCAAAAGTTTATGGAATACACAAAAACATTTTGATTTGAAAGCTTATTTTAACATTAAGTAGCATACAGCTAATATATGACCATATTTTAATATAATATAATATATAAATGAATTCAATAAATTAGGGCATCCGCTGTGTAAAACAGATTCTGGATAAGTTGGCGGTTCATTCCGCTGTGGCAACCCCAGATTAATAAAGGGACTAAGTCGAAAAGAAAATGTATTAAGGAATTCGATAAAATGCTATTCTGTGACATTTAACAAATTTATAAATAAATTTATGGAGCGAAGAAAAAAATATTTAAAGATACTATTAAGTATTTTTTATAATGGTGTTAATAGTGTTAAAAGGGCTAATTGCTCATTTAAAAAAAAACATCATTTCATGTCACTTCCAAAAAGACTTTTAATAAATAACTCTAGGAAAGCTTTTACATCATAAATTAAACAAAATGAATGACAATCGCAAAGAGCAAAGAATATCCACAATTACAAAAAAAAATTTATTTAACCGTCCAACAAATTTTCATATATTTTAAGCAGATTAACAGTTGAGCGAACATATTTTAAGTCTTAGGTAAAGGTGCATTCGAATAATGAGCATTGTGCAGTAGAAGTTTAATACTAAACTTATCCAAACGTGAGAAATTACCAATAATTGGTAAAAAAAAATAAAATAAAATTTAAAAAAAGAAATATTTAAGTGATATAATGAAATTAAACAAGCATTTAAATATATTAGAATTATTTTGTATTTTATATAAATTATTTCGTATTTAACTGTCTAATTTAATTCTCATATTTTAACTAGATTATCAGTTGAACCAACTAACCAAGTGTTAGTTAAAATTATCAATACAAAAAGCACTGTGCATTAGAAAAAGTAAATAGTAAACTCAACAAAATGTAACAAAAAAATAGTAAACAAAATGTAAAAAGAAAATCGCCTTTAAAAAATCAATAAAAAAATAAAACTTAAGTGATATAATAAAATTAAACAAGCAGTAGACTATAGTAGATTTATGTTGTATTTTCTATAAATTATTTCATATATTATGGCCTGATCAATTGTCATATTTAACCAGATTACCAATTGAACCAACAACCAACTAACCAAGTGTTTGTTCAAATTGTCAGAATAATAAGCACTGTGCATTAGAATAAGTTTAATAGTAAACTTAATAGTAAAAGTCTAACAAAAACATCTTAAATAAATCAATAAAAAATAATAATTAAGTGATAAAATAAAATCAAACAAACTCCTGACTATATTGGATTTAATGTATAAGTGATATGCGTGTTTGAATCAACAACAACAATAAAAAAGTCTCAAGTAAATCAATAAAAATAATAATCAAGTGATATAATAAAATTAAACAAGCAGTAGACTATATTAGATTATGTTGTATTTTATATCAATTATTTCGTATAAAACGGTTCGATCAATTGTCATATTTTAACCAGATTACCAATTGAACCAACAACCAACTAACCAAGTGTTCGTTCAAATTGTCAGAATAACAAGCACTGCGCATTAGAGTAAGTTTAATAGTAAACTCAACTAAATCTAACAAAAACATCTCAAATAAATTAATAAAAAATAATATAAGTGATATAATAAAATTAAACAAGCAGTAGACTATATTAGATTTATTTTGCATTTTGTATAAATTATTTAATATATAACGGTCCGATCAATTGTCATATTTTAACCAGATCACCAGTTGAACCAACAACCAACTAACCAAGTGTTTGTTCAAATTTTCAGAATAATAAGCACTGTGCATTAGAATAAGTTTAATAGTAAACTCAACAAAATATTACACAAAACATCTCAAATAAATCAATAAAAAATAATAATTAAGTGATAAAATCAAACAAGCACTTGACTATATTAGTTTTATGTTGTATTTTATATTAATGATTTAGTATTTAACTACCAACTATTTATTCAAATTGTCAAAATAACAAGCACTGCGCATTAGAATAAATTTAATAGTAAACTCAACTAAATTTAACAAAAACATCTCAAATAAATTAATAAATATAATAATAATAATAATAATAATATAAGTGATATAATAAAATTAAACAAGCAGTAGACTATATTAGATTTATGTTGCATTTTATATAAATTATTTCATTTATTATGGTCCGATTAATTGTCATATTTTAACCAGATTACCAGTTAAACCAACAACCATCTAAGTGTTTGTTCAAATTGTCAGAATAATAAGCACTGTGCATTAGAACAAGTTTAATAGTAAACTCAACAAAATGTAAAAAATAATAAATAAAATGTTTAAAAAATGGTCTTAAATGAAACAATAAAAATTAATAATTAAGTAATATAATACTATTAAATAAGCACTTCACTTTATTAGATTTATGTTGCATTTTAAATAAATTATTTCATACTTAACAGTCCAATCAATTGTCATATTTTAACCACATTACCAGTTGAACCAAGTGTTAGTTCAAATTGTCAGAATAATAAGCACTGTGCATTAGAATAAGTTTAATAGTAAACTCA